CCTTCCTTCCTTTCCTTCCTTACCTTCCGCCCACCTTCCCTCCCCTTCCTTCCACCCCTTCCCACTATTGATTACGCCTTCCTAACACCCTCCTTCCCTTCCTTCCTTCCTGAGGAGATTTTAAAAGTCCATATCCTTCCCCCCCCCCCTTCATTCCATCCTCTATCCATTTTCTTTTCCTTCCTCCATCCATACCACCCCTCTCCTCCGCCATCCTTTAACTTCCTCCATATACATTCCATCCCTCCTCCCTTTTCTTTCCCCTCAGTAAACCTTTCCTTCCTCCCGTTTTCCTTCCCCCCCCCCTTCCTTTCCTTCCTCCCCCCCCCTTCCCTTTCCTCACCACCCCTCCCTTTCCACCCCCTCCCCTTCCCCCCCTCTCATCCCTTCCCCCCCCCCTTCTCCCATCATTCCCCCTTTTCCCTTTCCTTCCTTCCCCTCCCCTCCCTCCCCCCCCCGCCTTCCCCTCCCCACCCCCCTCCCCCCTTCCCCCCCCCCCCTCCACCTCCCACCTTCCCTCCCCCCTCCTTCCCTTCTTTCCCCCTTTCCCCCTTCCTCCCCCTCCCCCCCCCTTCCTTACCCCCATTCCTTCCTCTACCCCCCCTCCCTTCATTTATTCGCCCCTTCCTCCCCCCCACCCTCCCCCTTCAATCATCCCTTCCCCACCCCCCATCTTTCCCCCCCCCCCCCCCCCCCCCCCACCCCCCCTTCCCCCTTGTCCCTCCCTCCCCTCCCTCCCTTCATCTCCTTCCCCCCCCCTCCCCCCCCACTCCCCCTTCCTTCCCCCATCCCATCCCTTCATTCCCCCCCTACCCCCCCCCCTTTCACCCCTTCCCCCCCCCCCCCCCTCCTTCATTCCCCCCCCATCCATTTCCCCCTTCCTTTTTCCTCCATTTCCTCCCCTCCCCCTTCTATTCCCCCCCCATCCCCTCCCTTTACCCTTCCCTCCCTCCCTCCCTCCCCCCTTTCCCCCCATTCCTCCCCCTTCCTTCCCCTTCCCCCCTTCTCCTCCACCCCCTCCTACCCTCCACCTTCCCTCCCCCCCCCCCCTTCCTTCCCTTCCTTCCTTCCCACCCCCTCCCCTACACCCCCCCCCCTTCCTCCCCCCATCTATTCCTCCTCCCTTTTCCCCCCTCCCCCCCTCCCCCTTCCTCCTACCCTCCCCCCCCTTCATCCTTTCCTCCCTCCCCCCCCCTTCTCCCTCCTCCTTCCTTCCCCCCCTTTCCTTTCTCCCCCCCTTCCCTCCCCCCTTTTCCTTTCCTCTTTCCCCTACCCTTTCCTCCCCCGCCCCCTCCCCCCTTTCCCATTCCCTTCCTCCCTTATCCTCCCCCCCCCCCTCCTTCCTTCCCCTCCCCGCCCCCTCCCCCCCCCTCATTCCTCCCCCCCTCCCTTCTTTCTTCCTTCCCCCCCCCTATTCCCTCACCCCCTTCCCCCTCCCCCCCCCTTCCCTCCCTTCCTTCCCCCTCCCATCCCCTTCACCCCTTTCCCCCCCCCCATTTTCTTTCCTTCCTTCCTCCAACCCACCCCCTCCCTTTTCTTCCTTCCCCCCTTCCCCCATCCTCATCTTCCTTCATTCCCTCCCACCCCCACCCCTCCTTCCATTCCTCCCCTTCCTTCCTTCCTTCCTTCCTCCCCCCTTCCTTCCCCCCCTTCCTTCCTTCCCCCATCCATCTCCTTCCTCCATGCATTCCCCCCTCCCTTTTCTTTCCTTCCTCCATACCCTCCCTTCATCCTTTCCTCCCTCCCCTCCTTTTATTTCCTTCCCTTCCTTTCTTCCTCCTTCCCTCCCCTTCTTTCCTCTCTCTTTCCCCACCCCCCCTTCCCCCTTCCTCCTTCTCTCCCTCCCTCCCCCCCCCATTCCTTCCTCCCTGTATCTATTCCCTCTCTTTTCTTCCTTCCCCCCCTTCCTTCCTCTCTCCCTCCCTACCCTTCCTTCTTTCTTCCTCCCTCCATCTATTCCCCCCTCCCTTTTCTTCCTTCCTTCCCTCCTTCCTCCCTTCCCCCCTCCCATTCCTTCATTATTTCAACCTTCCATTTTCTTTCCTTCCTTCCTCCATCCATTCCCTCCCTTTTCTTCCTTCCCTTCCTTCCTCCATCCCCCCCCTTCCCTTTTCTCCCCCCCCTCCTTCCTTCCCTCCCCTTCCTTCCTTCCTCCATTCATTCTCTTCCTCCTTTTTCCTTCCTTCCTTCCTTCCTTCCTTCCCTCCCTCCCCTTCCCCCCTTTTCCTCCCTCCATATTCCCTTCCTTTCCTTCCCCTCCTTCCTCCCCTCCCCTCCCTTCCTTCCTTCCCTCCCCTTTCTTTCTCCATCCATTCCCTCCTTCCCTTCCTAACTTCCTCCCTTCTGTCCTTTTCCTTCATTCTTTCCTCCATCCATTCCCTCCCTCCCTTTCTTCTTTCCTTCCTTCCTCCATCCCCTCCCTTCATTCTATCCTCCCACCCCTCCTTCCTTCCCTCCTCTTTCTTCATCCACTCCCTCTCTCCCTCCCTCTCTTTCTTCCCCCCCCTTCCTTCCTCCCCTTCTTTCCTTCTCCTTAATTCCTTCCTCCATACATTTTCTTTCTTTCCTTCATTCCTCCATCCATTCCCTCCCTCCCTTTTCTTCCTTCCCTTCCTTCCTCCATCCCTCTCACTTCATTCTTTCCTCCCACCCCTCCTTCCTTCCCTCCCCCTTCCTTCCTCCATCCATTCCCTCCCTTTTCTTCCTTCCTTCCTTCCCTCCATCCATTCCCTTCCTTCCCAAATAAGGGGGTACAGGTTCTGTTTATTCATCCCAATCTAATGAAAGCCCAACATATACTAGTGCTCCCTGTTTCACTCCAACCTGACACTGTCCACTGCCCCCACAAAATCATTTGAAAAAAATAATACAGAAATAAATTGTAAAAAATAAAAAAAAATAGATAATAAAACTTAAAAAATTCTGACACCCTTGCCATTGCTCTACTGATACCATCCACTAGCCACCCAAAAGGATTTTGAAAAAAAATGATGAAAATAAAACGTTAACTTGTAAAACAAAATCATAAAATTGTAAAAAAATAAATAAAATACAAATAAAAATGAAGAACTACTGACACCACCTACTGACACACCATCCTACACATACTACCCACTGCCCATACACTCCGCACTCCTCTCCCTGTACATACTACACACTGTCATACACTCCACACTGTACATTCCCTATTTAACATTACCTCATTCTGCACTATATAAGTCATCTCAGACACTATTTAACCACACCCCTTTTAAGCCATGCCCAATTTTTAGTGCAGCTTAAAACACACCCTCCTCTCTCATCCCTTCCTCTCTTACTCTCCTCTCTCTCTCTCTCTCTCTCTCTCTCACACCCCTCCTCTTTTTCACCCTCTCACTCCTCTCTCTCTTTTACTTCCCCACATGGCAGCCATCTTTAAACCTGGAAGTGCCCAGTGGCTTCTACGGAAAGAAGCCAGGAACATTTATGCAGTCTTTGATGCAGTAAATATTTAAATGCCCCTTCTATGCAGCTGAGCTGCAATATGTAGGTAGGGGTGTTGTGTGTGTGGCTTGAGTGTAGGCGGGGCACAGGGGGCCCCATTATCTCTTACTTCCCGGGGGCCCCATTAGTTGTCAGTCCGCCCCTGCTCTGAACTCTTTCACATTTCACACATTCCTGACTTGTGCACCCTGTGTGTTATGCTCTCTTTAGCCCTGTATTATAGGCACTATGTTGTACATTTCATACTCCTGACCACTGCACTCTAAGGACAAATTTATACCTCTGAAGTTGTTCTTTAAGGTAGGATGTGTGTGCACCCAGGGAGCAGAAACACATTCCTTTTTTTTTCCATGATGTGACTGGACAGTAATTTTGGGGGTTACTTCAACTTGCACTGCATGCAGAAACTCCTGGCCTGACTCGTATGAATTCACTAGAATTGGCCCTGTAGTTCTGTAGCTATTATGCAAACATATAGGTGGTCTGTCCCTTTAAATATTTCAACTACAAATATGTGCTAAATACATGATACAGCTAGTACATTACTGTAAATATTGATATCGCACAGTGATAAATGTGCCCACAAAAAGGTGAAAGAAGTCCTCTTAAATGGCAGAGATTATCATATATATAGTCCAGTGATGAGTGAACTACAGGTGCCAGCAATCAACTTTGGAGCTGAAGTCATAGTGCATACACACCGGTGGAATGCTGAGTTGATTATACGCTGTTTTTTTCCCTTTGTGAGTACAAAGGGAACACTGGCTGTTTTTACTGTAATGCACTATAGTTCTTCCTTCTTTCTTTCGTGACATATAAAGGCTTGTAATGAGTATGTGGTTTGGCACAAACTTACAGCAGTTACCATCAGAGGCTATTGTGTAATAAGAGGCAGAGGAGTTAATGTGTTTGTAAACCTCAGACATGAAATATGAACAAAGCATATCCCCCTATATATCCCTTGCCTCAATTAGGAGCACTAATTGTAATTTCACTGCTATCAGGATGGATCACTTCTGAGGTTTCCTGACTCCAAGAGAAATAAAGGTGACAGAGGATGGATTTCCAGCTGATTGACAGCCTCAGCTCTGCTCCTGTGTGCAGCGTGAAGCGGATCTGCCCCTCCCCTCCAATCAGCTGTCAGAGCTCTCCTTACTGAGCTCTGCAGTGGGTAATTTCAGCTCTCTGTCCTCTTTTTCTGACAGCTCAGACAAGCTTTATATATTATGGACTTTGAACTGATGTAGAGAAGAGAAGACTACAGATAAACAGGTACAACTTATGTAGGAGGATTTGTTTCATCTCTGTGTATCACCTGAGGCCAGTGACTTGACTGGGTATGTTTTACAACCACTTTAACCACAGCTACAGCACAGTTGTCCAGTTCTGGGAGGAACTCCAGTTCTGAGAGGACGTCATATGACACGCACCCGGCACTGTCTGCGATCTCTCTATCCTACAGACACAGTTGATCACATGACAAAGTAAAGGGCCAATCACAGTGGCCTTTTATCATATGATCAGCTGTGTCCAATGACACAGTTGATCACAAAGTAAATACAGTTGGCAGTTATTGCCAGCATTTTCCTCTCGCTGTCACAATGTGAGGAAAGTACTGACGATAACCAGCAAGTGTCACAGAGGACATCTGCACTGATAATCAGGGCACTGATTACCTGTGCCCTGATTATCAGTGCAGCCCCAAAAGTGCTCAGCAGTGGTGCCCAGCAGTGCCACCAACCAGTGCCCAGCAGTGCCACCCATTAGTGCCCAGCAGTGCCACCCATCAGTGCTGCCCAGCAGTGCCATCCATCTGTGCCGCCCATCAGTACCACCCGTCAGTGCCGCCAGTCAGTGCCCATCAGTGCCTCCTAGCAGTTCCCATCAGTGCTGCCTAGCAGTGTCCATCAGTGCTGCATATCAGTGCAGCATCATCAGTGCCTCCCCATCAATTCCCACCAGTGCCGCCTCATCAGTGCTGCCTATCAGTGCCACCTCATCAGTGTTCATCAGTCCTGCCTATCAGTGCTGCCTATCAGTGCAGCCTCATCAACGCACATCAGTGAAGGAGAAAATGTACATGTTTGCAAAATATTATAATAGAAACAAAGAAATACTTTTTTTTTCAAGTTTTTTGCTATTTTTTCATTTATAGTGCAAAAAAATAAAAAACCCAGCAGTGATTAAATACCACCAAAAGAAAGCTCTATTTGTGTGAAAAAAATTATAAAAATGTCATATGGGTACAGTGTTGCACGACCGCGCAATTGTCATACAAAGTGCAACAGCGCTGAAAGCTAAAAATTGGTCTGGGCAGGACAGGGGTAAAAGTGCCCTATAGGCAAGTAGCTAAGGAGCTGCCTGTCCTTGCTGCAGTGTGACCCTTGAGCTGAGTCCTATGTTTAAGCACTGTTGACCTCTTTGAGTTTGGGGTCTAAATTTCTGGTAAGCGAATATAGCTCTGTGTTGGTGAGAGCATGGGGATCACAACAAGGATTTCTGGTCCCTGTAGGTCACTTATCACAAGACTCTATATGATAATGTCTGATATTTAACTGGATTTTTTGTACCTTTTGGTGGGCACATTTATCACTGTGTGCTATCAATATTTATCTACTGGGTGTATCATGTATTTACAACATATCTGGATTTGAGATATTTAAAGAGACAGTGACCCAAATGCTTGCTTAATTATTCTGGTGTCATTTGTCCCGGCATTCTAGAGAGCACAATGCCCCTAGCTTTTAAGTTTATTTTTAGGATTACCTTTTTCACACATTGTTCACTATTGGAGTTTTATTTACATTTATTTGGTATTTACAATTGATTATCTTACACTGAGCACAGGAGGAGTTTTTTTTTATATACAGTTCTGTAATTATTACTAAATATAAGGCTGAGTGCTATGTTTTTACTACTCTACCCTTAAATGACATTTAAACTGATATATTTATTTAAATTAGGAAATAATGAAGAAACATGTGATAACATGAGTGTTAAGGGAGCCCAAGCTGGTGGATCTTGTTGTCAGGAACCTGGAGGTAAGGCTGTTGTCTGTACAATATATTAAAATATCTGCATTTTCATTGTGACATTAGTCATTTGTGCAAAATGATTTCTAATTCTTTTAAGTCATTCTTGAGATCCAGAAAACTCTGCAGGGAAAATAGACATCAGTGACCTTACTCTTTTCAGCTGCAGTTCAAAAAGAACAAAAACTTTTTTTTTTTAAAACGGAGTTTCACTTAAAAGCGGAAGCTCCTCTTATTTGCCTCTTCTCCCCCTCCACTGCCATATTTGGCACCTTTTGGGGGGGAGTGGATACCTGTTTTTGACTGGTACTCGCTCCCACTTCTGGCTCAGTTTGCTGCCCCCTCCTTCCTCCCGCAGTCTCCTGGGAGTTTCCACAGGTCCCAGAAGACTGCCGGACCAATCAGGAGGCGCAGCGTGATTCACGCATGTGCAGTGGGCACCCTGCTGTGAAGCCGCAAGCTGTCACAGCCTGGTGCCCACAGTTGAGATGTCGGCGACATGTAGGAGAGAAGGGATGGCGCGGGGAGAGCACATCGCTGGACCCCGGAACAGTTAAGTGTGAGTTTACTAAAAGTCAGTAGCTACAGTTTTTGTAGCTGCTGACTTTTAATAAACACAAAAACGGCTGGAACACCTCTTTGAATTTGGATAGAATAGGGTAGGTATAACCTTTATAATTTTTTTGCCATCTGTGTTTAATTGTGGAGATTTTCCTTCACTTCCTGCTCCATAGCCAAAATAGGAAGTGAGAGGAAATCTCTCAAAAGTGAGGGAATTCCTGGTTGTCACCAGGGGTCACCAGAACTAGACATGTGCGATTTGTTTCGATTTTCGGATGAAAATTAGATTTTTCAGAGATTCGGATGTATACAAATCTCCGAATGGACATAGTAATGAATGTCAACAAATACGAAAAAAAAAGTTATTACGAAATTAACAAATGCATTTGTTTTGATTGGTTGACGTAACATGATGCAATAGTAGTTCGGGCCCATGTGGAAATTAATTCAATTTTCAAATTTGTTCGTTAATTCAGATTCGGATAATGATAGGAGCCAAATTTTGTTCCATTTTTAAATTTCGGATTCACATGACACCAGTCGATATTGTCCAGTCAGCTTATGCCATTTCTTTTGGTGGGTTGGATGATCAGGTCTATATCCCCCAGACAGGGTGTTGTCACATAGACAGAGTTTCCTCAGTCAGACTCTTTGTAAAGCCGACCACAGATGATTTGAATCTCGGCAAGTTCAGCAAGGACTGGCTGAGATTAGAACCATCTATAGACAGGCTGATTGTACCCAATTCCATTGTTGTACGACTTGGGTACAGCCAGCCTGTCTGATTTTTCATGTGATTATTGCCAGCAGCTGTAGCCGCTAGCAATATTTCCTGTGTTCTCCTGGCAGGGACAGTTCCCCCCCTGTGCCCCCCTCGAGAGGGGTTCACCTACAGGCAGTGTAGCTTGGAAGGAAGAAAGCTCAGACCTTCACTGGCACCCAGAGTGAGAACCACATGTGTAGCAGGGAAAAAGGCTCAGCTAGAAGGCTTGGTAGCAGCCACCAAACTACCAGCCACGCAGGAGAAAGATTGAGTGAGTAAACCTGCACCCCCTGGGCCAGGAAAGGGAAGTAGGCACTCTAGTGGGAAACAAGATTAGCCTGCCACCCAGGACTGTTTCACTAAATTTCTGGCAGACACAGAATCCGCTGCTCAGGGATCCCTCCAGACAGCTGGGTAAAGAAGAGAATTTATCTGGGGTGATACTACAGGAGATGCTGGCTAGCTCTCCAAAAGAGACTGTTTAGCTGTAAAGACTTGTAAATAGTTCCAGGAAGTTGTCCTCAGTTTCTCAGTTCCAATGGGCATCCCATGTGCCCCTTACCCTATCCAAGTTCAATCCCCCTAATAAGACTGGTTACTGACTCCTGGATGCAAATTGGTGTGAAAATGTGTGTTGCCTGGCTGTGCAGGGCTATAGGGGGACCCAAACGTCTGCAACTCCTAAGGGGGTAGTGCTACACATGTCTAACCAGAACTAGTGTCCCAAAAGTTTAGATTTTTTTTTTTTTTTAACTTTCACTTTTGGTGATAATGGTAAAAACCAGATAAATAAATCGATGGTGTAATCCTTAATGGTAGAAACTGAAAAGGAGTTTTTCTTTATTATTAGTAGAAAGGGCACATTGTTTTTCATGGGAAGAAGCCCATGGAGTGAAGGATGAAAAGCTTCTTCCTATGCAAAAATGTGTCTTTTGTACTACTGATAAGGAGGAATGCACAAGAAAACTAATTTTTTCCAGCTTTCACCAATAAAGATTACACCATCGATTCATTTTTCTTGTGCAATTCTGAATGTGGTGCGTCTTTCGCAATGTTCGTGTGGTTTGCAATATGTTGGCAGGACCACACAAATACTGCATACATGATTATGGGAGCATATTTTGTAATAGTAAAAATAAAATTCATGGGACGTAGTATGTCCATTCCTTTAAAACTTTGTCATAATAAAGATCCTAGGGGGATAAGGTTTGTGGGCATTGATAAGATGAATCCCCATTGAAGGGGGTCTAATAGGAAAAGAGCCATTTCAAACAGGGAAACTGGGTGGATTTATGAATGACATGGGGGAATAATATACACATATTTATTTTGAGCAGTATTATTGTACCTTTATGCAATAAGATTGGGATATCACTTCTACATAGAGATTGCAGAGGTCTATTGTCTGTGAAGAGGACCGATATTCAATCTGAACTTACTCCAGTCCCTGAAAAGACTGAACAAGAAAACAGAAAACCAAATTGCCAATGTGCCATACGTAGCATACCACAACCACTTAGGAAGCGTATTTTTTTCTGTTGGTTGAACTGGATGGACTTGTCTTTTTTCAACCAGATTAACTATGTGACTATGTATTGGCCTCAGAAAGAAACTTTTAAGAATGCAAAAAGCTTTTAAATAAATTCAGGGGTTGCTTCAAATTATGTGCTTCCATGAAACATCAATGTTAAGGACTTCAAGACTACTATTGAGTGCATAGAATGCGACAGTGACGATCACATACAAGTGCTTCATCCATTTTAAGATAGTCCTACTCTGTCTACAGGTAATCCTCCCAAGGCAAAACATGGCGAGGAAAGTACACACCAAACAGTGTCTCATACAGCAGGTTTTTTTTTTACATGTCTGTGAGGAAGGACTCTGTGACAAATCCTGTGCCAAAATATGCTTAGTTAGTGTAAACCCCAAGGGTTAACCTTAAAAAGCTGTAAGACTGTAAATGATCCTAGATGATCAGAGTCAAGTCAGTTTTTGACCCATTAAACATAAAAAGAGATGCTTTACCATACACCTACTACCTGTGTTTCAGGTATCACAAGGCATCACAGACGTTTCGGCCAGGAGAGTCACTGGTCTTGCAGTAGCTCCTCTTAATGGCAGCATAGAAATACTATTTCCCACTCTCATCAAGGACAGCCAGATTTCAACCAACAGAGAGATCCCTACTCCTGCAGCTGCTTGTCAGCACTCTTACTTGAGAGTCATAGCTGATCACATACAAACTCTTGACAGAAATGCAGAGATTCTTCTGCTTATCGGCAGAGACATCCCAAGGGTGCACAAGACTCACCTACAAATCAATGGGCCACATGACGCACAATATGCCCAACTCCTGCATCAAGGATGGGTCATCTTAGGCAAAGTCAGTCTTGGTAATGTCAGGAGGTCTTCAACGGTTTCTTTTTTCAAGACAATTGTTCTGCCAAGTGGTCACATTGTTTGCTTCAAACAGTGTCCACATCACTAACATATCAAAGAAAGACTTTGCAGTAAGAGCATGCAACAGTTCTT